TATCTTTTATTGAAGGAAGTTTTGTACCTGTTGAATTTTCACATGAGCTGCATGTAACTTTAAGTGCAGAAACTTTAGAGTAACAGAGATAAAATGACACAAACATGCCAGAATAATTTCCTTGTATATTTACCTCCATATCTGCTCTAACCTCGCACCATTTATAATATAAAAATGTGGGGCCAGGTGCAGTGGCTCATGCCTCTAATCCCAGCACTTTGGGAGGCTGAGGTGGGCAGATCTTGAGGTTAGGAGTTTGAGACCAGCCTGGCCAAGATGGTGAAACCCCATCTCTACTAAAAATACAAAAATTAACTGGGCATGGTGGCAGGCACCTGTAATCCCAGCTACTTGGGAGGCTGAGGCAGGAGTATCACTTGAAACTGGAAGGCAGAGGTTGCAGTGAGCCGAGATTGCACCACTGCACTCCAGTCTGGATGACAGAGTTAGACTCTGTCTCAAAAAAAAATTAAAAAGGATGGGAATGTCTGGAATACATAGACCAACTCTGTGGGATAAGATTTTTCAACATTTTGTCAGAGGTTAGAAATGTTCTCTTCATCCTTGGGAAAACCCGTTCTGTTTTCCCATGAGAGGAGCACAGCTTTTATTCAAATTTATGAAAAGTTAAAAATGTCCATAATGGTACAATATAACATGAGTAAAGAGTATGAGCTCTGTATTATCTTTTCATCTTTTCTTTTTTGGTCTGTAGGTGAATTTTAAAATTTGCTTCTATTCCCATTGTAGTTCCATATTGGTCATTGTTTGCTATAATTGTAAAATTTTGTTTTATTTATTTTTCCTAGAATTACCATAAAAATAAATACAAATAATGATATGTTTAAAAAAGCAACAGTAAAAAAAAATGTACTCTTTTTTCTAATTCATCAAGCGTCATTTGTTTTGTGTGTGAATGGGTATATCTCATTAATGGCTTCTGTGGTATAACTCTATAATTAATATTTATATATTAGCTACAGTATCTGTTCTTATGGGAAAAAGAGTTTTATAGTATAAAATTGAATGTTTTAAAGCATTCAAGTAAACCAAAAATATTTCCTAAAAAATGTGTTGAAAGGATGTAACAATCCAGCATGTGATTTTAATTAATGTCCAAGTAACTAAAAATGTATTTAGTTCATAAAGAAAACATATTGACATCTAATTATGGATCATAGAATTTGGTGCAGCAAAACTGTAGTGCATCTGTTCAGTGAAAACATAATCATGGAGAATACGAAATGGCACAATATATAATGAAAATTGAAATAATGCACAAATAAGACCATTAAAAAATAACAGTGCAAAACCAAATAGAGTTGGGATTTAACAAGAGAAGATTGGTAGTTCTAGATTTACTGGTAACAGAGATTGTCAAATTCATACAAAATGTTCTCACTATGCTAATTTTAATGGTAGTACTGCAGAATATTCCCTGTTTTCTCTTTTAATGAATTCAAAAATTTAAAGTAGAAGCAGGAAGTTGGCACCATTAGCCCACTTCCATATTTTCAGATTAATAACATAATATGTGTAGTTTAGCTAAGGATTATCTTTTGATAACTCATTTTTAAAAATTAATGATGATAAACACAGATACCAAGAATAATAACATTATTTGTTGTATAAATAACATTATTTTACAATATTACTGGCTCAACCTCCTTTCCTCTGTCTATTGATTTGGCTCATACCTTCACTCCACAGCAGTGGTTCTCAGATTTGAGCTTGCATGGGATTACCTGGAGTACTTGATAAAGCACAGAACAGTGGACTTCCAGAGGTTCTCCACCTGGTCTAGGATGAGGCCTGAGAATTTGCCTTTCTAACAAGTTCCCAGGTGATGCTGATGCTGCACTTTCGGGGCCATACTTTGAAAACCAGTGCCTTGGAGCCTTATAAATTACCTTAAAGCTAGTCTTGCCCTAGTACTCCCATTTCTACAACCCTTTGTTAGCTTTTAGTAGTCTTCAGTATCAAGCTCAACTTGGCAGGTATTTAGCAATTGCTATCATGTGCCCCACCTGCTCCAAGTCTGCCTTTTCTGTTAATCTATAGCACATCAAATAACTAATGCATGATTCTCCATATTGGTCAAATATGGTAAATTATCCACAATTTTCCATATTGTCCAAATTGTTTCCTACCCTCATCCATTTGTTATGTTACACCAACTAACCTAGAAAGCTCCTCTTTATCTCTATATTTCACTCATACAAGTTTCAGACCAAATATTTCATCCCCCATGAAGCATCCTTGGTTCTCTCTTATTTACTTAGGTCACAAGTAATGTATCATTTATATGAAGTCTTTCTGCATTTCATTTCTCTTACATCTAATTTCAACTTTCTTTACATTTTATTATTTTTACTTAAATAAATATGTAAATTCTTCCATTAGCGTGTAAGGTATTTCAGAACACATCTTGGGTTTTATTATCTTTTCTAGTACAGTGTCTTAGAGAAGTCATTAATATATACGTGTGGATTTCTGTTATTTATATAATAGTCATGACAATGGCAATAATAAACATGATATTATGTGATAATAATAAGAGCAGCTAATACCTACCGGATTTTTATTATGTGGCCAAGCATGGTTCTAGTTTCACGGATTATTTCATTTAACTTCTTCATTATCCCCATATTTGCATTCCCATTATATAAGTGAATAAACTGAGGCACTAAGAAATTAAGTGACTAGTCTATAGTCACCCAGCTATAAGTAGAGTAGTTGGGATATGATTTCCATTAATAAGTCTCAAGAATCTAGTTTCCTGATTCCTTAGATGATGAAGTTTCTAGTACCATAAAATGAAGATGCTTAACACTTTGGCACAAAATAGACAGATACGTGTACACTTCTTCTGTAGTTTAAAAAAACTCTCTAAACAATGATAACTACTGACTAACATTCAGTAACACAGTAGCTTTGAATATTCTTTGTAATTCTGGATCCATTTCACTTATATGATCACTTATACACAGTCACACGAAACCTTAAGTACCCATCGTCTTATTCCTTTGACAGCATAGTAAGGCATGTTTCTCTAAGAGTGGACTCTGGCCTCCTTGAATCAGTATTACCTTGGATGTTAGGGAAAAAATATAGTTTCAGAATTAACCCAAACAAATTAAATTTGCATTTCTCCCCAAGTAACCTGGTGGTTCTTATGTATACTCTTTTCAATATAAACTCGTGAATATGATCTATCAACAGCATTCTTTCAGTATGTGTGGGATGAAGTACGGCGAAGTCTATTCTAGTTGGTGACAGCCCCAAGTTAGGTTTCACATAGGGTGCCTATGAAGGCACAAAATCCAAATGGAGATTTGTTTGGATTACCAGAGCTTCTCTTAAAATGATGGCAACTAGTTGGAAAGTTAGTGTAGTTATTTTAATAAAAAAAATCAAGTCCCTTTCCTTTTAACACACATAGAACTCAGCTGTTCTAACATTTCTTAATCTGATATAATATACCACCAGCTTTTAAAGGAAAACAAAACAAACACCCATTTGATCTTCATAGTTGACTCAAATTATATTTAATATAAAGTTTCCTGAATGTTGTACAAACATAATAAAATGTTTACATTTTATACAACTATAAAATTATATCTAATGTTTAATTAAGTTTAAACAAAACTATAGAAACATAAAATTCAAGTGAGAAACATTTAAAATGAGGCAGAATTTTTATTTAAACTACGTTTCTCCTGTTATATTTAAAAGTAACAAATGTATGTCTTTGTTTACTTTGTCACTTGCTGTCAATTTAATTTTTATGCTTTTGAGCACAAGGGGCTATAATTTAATTTTTCATCATTATAAATCTTTCTCCTTTTAAACAGTTTTTTAAAATTACCATTCTATTATTTTCATGGGCCAATCAATTTAAGAATAGGTATACAACATAAAATATAGTAATACAATTGATCAAAAATTACATGAGAAATTCTCTAGAACATATTTGTCCTTATGTGCACTGATAATGAATTATCATAAAAAAGTCTGTAGCCTTTGCTGTCTGTCAGGGAGGGTTTTCTCTGGTCAGTATGTTTATACAACTGCAAGCTTTTTGATAACTCAATGTCATTCAGAATGCATGCTGGGCATCATTTGGCCTTCAGTCACTTAGAATGTGTTCAAATGTGGCTTAAGTACCTGGTCACAGGTAGTCATGTTGGTGGGATGGAATATGTGAATATCCACTTTGAAAATTCTTTTAGGAAAGAAAATATAACACTAAAACAAAACAAAACTTCCAGTGCTCCAAAACCAAAACGAATAGACCTTTGCTCTTGGGGTCCTTAGAAACCTGAAATCATTCTTTGGAGCACTGCTTTGGATTGGGAGTAGAGTAAATGAGGAAATTAGGAGAGGAGAAAACAAATTTAGGATTATGGGCACCTCCAGCGGTTGGAGGTTTATTAGACATTCAAAAAAAGAGAGCTTAAAGAAGGAAAGAATCCTGTAAGAAGAATATTGGAAAAGTAAAACATAAATCACTGATGTTTTTTCTATTATTTTATGCCCTCCTTGGCATTTTCCTTGTAGGACACTTAAAATCCCAGAGTCAGGCAACTGTATGCCATACAGTAGAAAACCTCTGATACAAGTAAGTTGAAGAAAGCAGCTTAATGTACTCAGGTTGATTTTTGGGGGTCTCCAATCTGCTACAACATATAATGACAGGCTTGCATACATCACATAAGTCATTCTGCAATTTCCACCCTGAATTTCTAATTGGTTAAGGTCTTTCAAATATCTTCATTCACCATATAAAATTGATAACACTTCCAAGAATAAAGGAACAAAGTTTGCTTTCCTGGCTTCAGAAAGAAAATTTCTTCTCAAACCTCCTTTATGGATACAAATCTGAATTAGTTCTGAAGAGTTCCATATTGAGAGAGTTTAAAACTATTTTTCTCCTGAAACTTATTTTATTGTATAACAACTCACTTTGTGCAGACATCCTTCCTCAGAGCTAATCTAAACCCTCTGTACTGCATTTTATTCTTTTCCCTTTGTTCTGGCTCAGCAATCAGAAGAACAGATGGCCATCTTCTGTCAGTACTTGAAGACTGTTTCTTAGAAACATTAAGCCTCCATCAGGCTCACTTGTTAATGCAAAAGTCCTACTCAGGACAGAAGCTAGGACAAACTTTGAAGTCATAAGGTAAGTCTTAAAGCCCAAGTTTTTCTTTTCCTTATTTTCAGTCACTTAATATCTTCAGTTTTTCTACGTTTCTCATCCATAGCTTATTAAACAATGTTCAAATGTATAACTGTTAACCTTATCCATTAAACCTTACTAAACCTTAAAGTATACCTTACCTTATACTAAACCTTAAAGTATAAATGATTGCTACAGTGTTTAAATGTAGGCCATTGAATGGGATGGCTAAATTTTAACAAAGAACATTTTTTCTTACATTTATGTTTTAATTGCAGGGTTACTATATCTATAAATTAGATAAAGGAAGGTAGAAGATGACAGTCAACGTCACTGAAATCATTTTATGTGGGTGGGCACATAAAGTGCTCTGTATTTGTACTGTAGCTCCTTTCAGCTGTGATTTGTTCAACAGGTATTTGTTGAACATCTGGGACCTGGGAATCTAACAGTCAGACATGTCTTAGCGAACTTATATCCTTTTGGGTGTAGAAACCCAATAACAAATCAACGAGAATAAGAAAATACTGGGTGTGAAAAATGCAGAGAACTAGTATAGGGTGGGGTGAAAAGAGAGTGACTGCCTGGCTACTTTAGATCTGGGAGTCAGGAAAGGCTCTTCACAGGTAAGTTGACATCTGAGTTGGAATCTGCGTAAGAAGACAGAGTCAGTCCTACTCAGTGAGGAAGAATAGTGCTCCAGGGAGAGGTAAATACGCCACAGTGCTGTTTTAACCAGTACACTCATACTTCATTTTATTGCAGTGCAGTCAAACCTTATTTCCTTGTACTTTGCTGTATTATGCTTTGCAGATAGTGTGACTTTTACAAGTTGAAGGTTTGTGGCAATCTCGCATTGAGCAAGTATACAGTACCATGTTTCCAATAGCATGTGCTCGCGTTCTATCTCTGTGCCACATTTTGGAAATTCTCACAAAATATTTCAAAGTTCTTCATTATTATTGTATTACCATTACTGTCATAGGTTATGCTGTTATGGTGATCGACCATCAGTGATCTTCAATGGTACTATTGTAATTGCTTTGAGGTGCCATGAGCTGCACTCACAGAAGACAGTAAACTTAGTTAATAAATGTTTGTGTTCTGACTGCTCCACTGACTATTCTCCAGTCTTCCTCTCTTTCCTTGGGCTTCCCTCTTCCCTGAGACAGCAATATTGATATTAGGTCAGTTAGAAGCCCTACAATGGCTTCTAAGTGTTCAACTGGAAGGAACAGTTCAATGTTTCTTACTTTAAATTAAAAGCTAGAAAAGATTCATCTCAGTGAGGAAGACACTTTGAAAGCTGAGCGGCTGAAAGCTAGGCCTCCTGCACCACACAGTTAGCCAAGTTGTGAATGCAAAAGGAAAGGTTTTGAAGAAAATTAAAAGTGCTGCTCTAGCAAGCACACAAATGATAAGAAAGGGAAACAGCCTCATGGCTGATACAGAGAAAGATTTAGTGGTCTGGATAGAAGATAAAATCAGCCACAAGATTCCCTCAAGCCAAAGCCTAATCCAGAGCAAGGCTCTCATCCTCTTCAATTCTCTGATGACTGAGAGAGGAGAGAAAGCTGCAGAAGAAAAATTAGAAGCTGGCAGAGATTGGTTAAGGTTTAGGGAAAGAAGCTGTTCCCATAACATAAAAGTGCAAGGTGAAGCAGCAAATTATCCGGAAGATCTAGCCAAGACCATAGGTAAGGGTGACTACAGTAAAACAACAGATTTTTCCATACAGATGAAACAGTCTTATATTGCAAGACCATGCCATCTAGGGCTTTTAAAGCAAGAGAGTAGAAGTCAGTGTCTGTCTCCAAAGCTTCAAAGAATAGGTTGACTCTCTTTTTAGGGGACAATGCAGCCAGTGACTTTAAGTTGAAGTTAGTGTTCATTTACCATTCTTAAAATTCTAGGGCCTCTAAGAATTATGCTATCTACTCTGCCTATGCTCTATATATGGAAAAACAAAGGCTGGCTGATAGCACACCTGTCTATAGTATGGTTTATTGAATATTTTAAATTGACTGTTGAGACCTACTGTCCAGGAAAAAAATTTCTTTCAAAATATTACTGCTCATTGATAATGCACCTGCTCATCCAGAAGCTCAGATAAAGATAGAGGTACAAAGAAATGAGTGGTTTTTTCATACTTGAGAATACAACATCTATTCTGCAGCCCATGGATCAAGGAGTAATTCCAATTTTCAATGTTATTATTTATTATCAGTTATGACTTTCATAAGGTCATAGCTGCCAGAGACATTGATTCCTATGATGAATCTGGGAAAAGTGAGTAAAAAATATTCCAGAGTGATTCACTACTATAGATGTTATTAAGCACATTTGCTATTTAGGGGAGGAAGTCAAAATATCAAGATGAATAGGAGTTTGGGAAGATTTTGATTCCCACCTCATGGATGACTTCGAGGGGTTTACAACTTCAGAAGAGGAACTAACTGCAGATGTGGTGGAAATAGAGAATTAGAATTAGTGGAACCTAAAGATGTGACTGAATTGTTGCAATCTCATGATAAAACTCAAAAAGATGAGGCATTGCTTCTTATAGATAAGAAAAAAAAATGGTTTCTTGTTATGCAATCTACTCTTGGTGAAAATATTGTGAACACTTTTGAAATGACAACAATGGATTTAGAGCATTACATAAACATAGTTGATAAAACAGTGGCAGGGTTTGAGAGGATTGACTCCAATTATAAAAGTTCTGTGAGTAAAATGCTATCAAACAGCATTGCATATAACAGAAAATCTTTTGGGAAAGAAAGAGTCCATTGATGGTATAAACTTTACTGTAGTCTTATTTTAAGAAATTGCCACAGCCACCACAACATTAGGTAATTGCCATTCTGATCAGTTACCAGCCATCAATGTCTAGGGAAGATCCTCCACCAGTAAAAATTTACAGCTTGCTACAGGCTCAGATGATTATTAGCTTAGCATTTTTTAAGAAAATGGTATTTTTAAGATATGTACTTTTAAAAATATAATTCTTTTGCACACTTAAAATTAATAAACTACAGTATTGTGTAAACATAACTTTTCTATTCATGGGAAAAACCAAATAACATGTGGCTCTGGGAAAAATGACTCAAATATATTCTGGGGGGATTCACTATTATAGATGTTATTAAGCACATTTGCAATTTAAGGGAGGAAGTCAAAATATCAAGATGAACAGGAGTTTGGGAGCAAGTTTATTGCTATATTTACTTTATTCCTGTGGTCTGGAATCAAATGTGCAATATCCTCAAGCTATCCTGTAATATGTTGCTTCCCAGTCATTCATTTGTCTACTAAGACCCATAGATATTTATACTGTTGTCCACTACAAACATTGGTCATTTTTTACAACTTTAGTAGTCTATGCAGTTTTCCTCATAAAGAATAAGAACCAGCCATGCACAGTGGGGCCCTTCTGTAGTAACAGCATTTTGACAGGCTGAGGCCTGAGGATTGCTTGAGCCCAGGAGTTCAAGACCAGCCTAGGCAACATATAAAGAACCCATCTTTACAAAAAAATATATATTTTTTACTAGCCATGTGTGGTGACATGTGCCTGTTGTCCCAGGTAATCAGGAGGCTAAGGCAGGAAGATCTCTGAGTCAAGGAAGCCAAAGCTTTAGTGAACACTGATTTTGACACTGTATTTTAGCCTGGGTGACAGTGAGAGACCCCATTTCAAAACAAAACAAAAAACAAACAAAACAATAATAATAATAATAATAAAAGACTAAGGACAATTATTCACTTTATCATATAGTTTTTACATTTCACATTTTGTTTAAAAACTGCCATGCTATATTCTCATCTTCAATGAACATCAATATTCGGTATTTGGTATCTTTATCAAACTTAATTTATAAGTGTCTTTTGGATTTTTCTGAGTTTTTGATGAAAATAGAAGTCTAAATTTGGACTTTACTATTATAATGAAGTTCTTGAGGGGAGTATGATAGGAGGGATTAGGAAGAGGAATTTTTTTCCAGTTGTAAAAGATTTCACATATCCCTTTTTTGGGCTATATGTTGTAAGAATTTGTTTAGGTTACAGTTGAGAGGGATGGAGTTTGAAATAGCACTGAGGTAATTTTTTAAATCGTCACTCATATCAACAAACTCCTTGTATAGAACAGATTTGTTTAAGTTTTGGATATGTAGAGTTGGTATATGCTACTGATTGGCCAATATTATGTGGTCCCAAATCAACTACTGTCAAATTTCTATGCAGATAAAGAAGAAAGAATTGTTTTCAATGACTAGGAGAATGCAAATCTTTAAAGATTTAATACTATATGTATTAATGTTACCTTTTTATGTTTATTAATTATAATGTTGATAAGAGAAAATCAAGAAAAAAAAAGAGAAATTGTATGTACCTCTGCGTCACAAACATGCTCTTAAACATGGCCCACAGATGATGCAAAATTCTTGTGAGAGTAGCCTCTACATCCAACACGTTTTATATATTCACGCTTAACTCATTCACTATGACAAATTTATGAATAGGAATAAGACCATCAGTGAGCCTACTGTAGAAATACACATACTTTGATACTTAATGCTCATGCTTTTTTGTTGAAGTAGAAGATGAATTCTGTTGAGCTAACTCAAGAGTTTCTGAATGAAGGTAGAACATGCAAATTCCTCAAATAAGCAAGAGATATTTGTGGCTAAAACCATTATAGGGTCCAAAAATCTGAGGAGAGACATTATGTTCGCTTCAGAGAAACATTATTTATCTCTGTTGGCCAACATACTTTGAAACAACTATTTGGTTTTAATGGATATATATCTTGCCACTCTGCCATCAGTAATTTGAACAGCTTGCAATACTGTATGTCATCTTTCATTGCTTTCCCTTTGTAGCAAACACAATCATTGGATTGTTTTTCATTGATTTAAAAACATTGACTTGCTGAAGTATGAGCCTGTGTGCAGTCATAATTCTTGTTCTTTCTTCCTCGGCAAAGCCTGTAATAATTCTTT